TTGATGCAGCTTGTCCAATGCCTGAAATGCAGCGTACAGAGTGACTAAACTTGTTTACATTCATATTTTAATCTGTAGTTGTATAGGTCCTTGAAAGTACTGTCAGCGCTTTTTTGTATGTGGAAGTTGGATCCTTAAAGAAAATATTTCTGTGAGAAAATAATTGGTGTAAATATTCCCAGGGAATACTTAATGGCAATAAGTTTGTTATGCAGAGCCCTTGGGTTTCAATTAATGTTTACTATTAAAATATCCTAACAAAAACAAACCCTATTTTATATCTGCAGTAGTTCCTTTGAGTAGGGTTACCCTTAAGCGTGCCTTGATGTTGGGACTCGGTTTTTCATTGCAATTCTTGTGGGTTAAAAGTTTTTTAGGACAGGCTCCTCCTGAGTGCTCAAAGGCCAAGGAATGTTTAAGAAAAGTAGAGCTAAAATCAAAACTACTGCTACATAGAACTTTACATCAAAACTACTAGTTTCTGCAGACTGTAAATAATTGAGAGGTTTTAATGAAACACTAAGGAAGAAGTTACAGATGGTGATGCTGGAGGTTAGGTCAGATGTTTATAGGTTCCCTTTCGCCTTGATTTTTATGCTAAACTTGCTGTGTTGGACTTCTTGAGGATTAGTTGCCCATGCACAAAATTGTAAGTTGAAATAAAATCTCGTAGCTGATGTACTACGTGGTCAGGAACACTTGGTCACAGCAAAATATTTTTCTAGATTACTGTTATGTTAGTGGATGTTTTTAAACACACTGGTGTTTGACTAAGGGGAATTATTAGCTCTCTTTCATCTTTCATGCATTAGTGTTATAATCCTATTGCATATTTATACACTTACGGATATATATTAAAAAGAAAGTGGTTTATGTTCCAATAAAGTAAGCATAATTTGTTTTTTTGGTTTTTTTTACCTCACGTATTTTGGATTTTACCTTTACAATCTTTAGAAGTCAAAATGTTTTCTAAGGGGAAAGCAACTTTCCTTCAGTTTTCTGCTATACAGGTCTAATATTTGCTGTTAGTACATTGACAGCTCATACTAAAGCTGTGTAGAGGGCTGACTTCCAAGGTGAATGGGCTCTGATGATCTGAAAAGGCACCCCTGTTGTCTGCAGGCTTAAATTTGCCAAATGGGCTTTCATGCCTTTGGTAGAAAAATTCCAGGCATTGTATATTGAAAATGTATGAAAATGTTGAATTCAAAACTTGGTATCTAAGCAAGTGCTGGTGAACTTGGTACAAGAGCACAAAGATGTAGAATTTAAGTGTCTCCTCTGCTGCAGAAATAACAGCTTTGTACGTTGCCTCATTTAAAAAGTGGCAAATTAGATAGAGTGGCTCTTCTGTATAATTTTTTGTGCGATGTCTTTAAGTGCAAGTTTGAATTCAATTTATACCGGTATCAGTTACTATTTTTGAATGGTCTTACATTTGTTTTCTATGAAGTATAGCTTTAAACTGTAATTCTATACTTCGTAATTGTGACTCGGGCTCTTTTTTGTTTGAGTACTTTTAAAGTGACTTCGGCCTTTGTGCCCCTCCCATGTGCTGTAACATCTGGCAATGAAAGATAAAGCCATTTGAAATTCTAGAGGGGCAAATGTTCTTGCAATTGAAATTGTGATAGTAAGGTTAACTGTGAATTCACTAAGAACATAAAATATTTTCAAGTCCCTTTGGGAAGTATAAAGAATGATTGAATCTAAACATTTCTCAATATTTTTTGATACTTCTCATTTCTTTAATTGATTGAAAAATCATATTTGCTTGTTTCCTGGAAGGGAAAAGAGACACTACATTGAAGTCAGTGTAGGAGCTGACTCTGTATCTTTCAACCCATATCTTTGAGTTGAAGTGAGAACCAAACCTAACTTTAACATAGTTTTTCTGATAGCGTTCCTGTTACATAGACAAATTCTTGCCTCAGCGGGAAAGAAATAAAAGTATCAGTAGTGCTGACAGGTGGAAGCAATGTATTCCGTTTAAAATACCATTCTATTTGGAGAAGGGGGGGAAAACTTTTAATTTTTTATTTTTCTTTTCCTGTGCAGGAATAAAAGACTACTCTAACTGGCCTACCATCCCACAAGTATACCTCAATGGTGAATTCGTTGGTGGCTGTGATATACTCCTCCAGATGCATCAGAATGGAGATCTTGTAGAAGAGCTGAAGAAGCTTGGAATTCGTTCAGCACTTCTGGATGCAGAAAAAGACCAAGACAAAAAGTAAAATGAGCAAAAAAAGATGCTGTGCAGGAATAAAGCAAATCTTCGATAAGAACTTGTTACCAGTAAAGCCTTACATATGTTAGCTCAAACAAGGCATCTTTCTGAACTGACACTAAGATTTATCTGTGAATGTCTGTTAGCTCATGGTAAATTTAGTGCTCTTGGAATTTTGTTTTATAGATATTGTGAAAATTTGAGTATAACCACTGCACTGCAAAGGATACGTTTATGGAAATTTGTGTTCATAAAAGGAAAAACTTAATTTCTAAAAACATTCTGTTCTCGATGGAGGTGGGAGTAAACCAAAAGAACTAATAATATTTTTATGCCTTTTGAGTGTGTGTTTCTCTGTTCTTTGATTCATATGAACCCACGCAAACAGTATTTGCATTCCCTTGCTCCTCTTGAGAAAGTGTCAATTAATAGTGCATCAGTTTTGCTGTGTAATGTCTGTTGGTAAGACTTCCGGAGAGCCTGTAAAACTTCTGTAGTCATTATGATATAGGAGAAAAATAGTCTTCAAACAATGTAGGAGGAAAAAGATTATATGAGAGTGCATGAAATATACTTTTATTCCAAAGCGTAAAAATAAACAGACTTGTACAAATACATGTATAATGGTCATTATTACTTTGTAACTTTCTGATGGCTTTTAAAAGATTGCTGAGAATTGTGCCTAAAGATTTTATAAAACCTTTTCTACCTCTTGCAAAGCAGCTTTCTTCCCTGCTTGTATACTTTGTGTATTGCAATTTTGTGTCACTACTAAAATGTGAGAATTGTTTAAAGCTTCACTATTCTGGCTTGAACTAGTATGAGAGAATAATTCAGTTACTACTGTAATTTTGTATTATTTGCTAGTTACTAAGTTATCTTTTGATGTTTGTTATATTTCCAGATATTTTCTCCTGAGTGCTGTGCTCCAAAGAGTACGGTCTTCAAACATGGAATTAACAGATAAAATGTTTTTTGTAAATGAGTGTAGCAGAGAGGCTACTGAGTAGATAAATTGCAGAAAGTCTCTGAAGTCTTCAATACCTATCTAACAACAGTTCCCTACGTGAAAACAAATTACGTTAACCAGTGTTGCTTCAGCTGTACACTAGTACTGCTCAGGTTAAAAGCTAACCAAGCTATTTCTAAGTACAATTTACTTATATTAATAAAATCAATTTGCATATGAATTAGGCAAATGATTGGAAATAAACTGTATTTTATGTTAAATGTCTACAGTAGTTCCTTTTTGTTTTAAATTACTTATGAAACTGCTGCTGGTTTTAGTTTGAAACCTAAAATGTTTTCCACTGAAGAAGGTAGGGAATGTGTTTTAGAGGAAGGATAAATTATGAATGGTCAGTGAAAGAGGAAGTCAGGACTGAAACTTGTAGACGAGAGATTTGATGCATCAAGTTCCAGTTCGAAATCTCTCTCTTGTCCACTTGAGCAAGCTGTCCAGTGGAGAAACTGCTGGTATATTGTTCTCAGAATTTGACAAACTGGTTACAGTAAGCTTACTGTATAGTTTTAGTGCAGTATCCCTAGCATTAAATAGTGTGTATGTTCTCTGTGTATTTACTTGTTCATGATGGGTGCCCAGTACTAGTAGAGGTGACAGAATGACCACTGAGTATGAATAAGTTACATTCAGAGAAGTCAGTTGTGGTTGTTAGGCATGGAGATACAAGTGCAAGATTTTTTTGTTCGTTTGCCACATTGCATTCATGAAATACAAAGCTTTAAGCATATACGAAGGTTAGTTCTGAGCATTTCAGTGTTACCTATCTGAATTCAAATAAAATAAGCTTTCTTATGGCTGATCTTTGATGTGTAATTTTTGCCATTCTGAATGTAAAATTAGTGATTTTCAAAAGTCTGGTTATTCATGTCAAAACTATTGGATGTATGAACAAAGAATAAGGTAACAAAATTAAGTTACTCTCTGCTTCAATGGTTAACTCTTAGTCTAGCTACTAAATTATTAAAAAAACAACCCCCCAAATCTGCTGTTTCACAGAGCTCTATTTTTTATTCTTCTGTGAAGGTTGAATATTTTTCAGTATTACCTGCAAGTAATTTAACATAAAGGTAAATTTAGCATTGTCAGGTCTTTCTCCTCTAAGCAGCAAAAATTTTCTCCCAGCATGAGTTCCTACTTTTACCAAAATTATCAAAGTTTTTCTACTTTCTCAACTTCATTCCCTTTAGGCTTCTTAGTTTTAAATTATTTGGTTAAAATTTTGCATAACATATTGTAGTAATGTTTATATCAACCGTTTGCCTTACTGGAATTTGTGATGGAGCAAATAAAAGCAACAGTGACACCATAAGGTGTGTGTGATAAAGCCACAAGAGTGGGAATGTAAAACCAGGACTTTTGCCTGCATTCCTGTACAAACCATATCTTTCAAGGCTCTGTGTGTGTGAGCAGCTGTTTTACATATTACATCAATATAAATGCTCATGTTTTTCCAACTGCAATAAAAAGAATCACAGTCTACTTAAACTGTAAAACTTCAGAGGCTCACAAAGAGGCTTATTTTTGGGAGTTGGCTGAGAGTATTTTTCTCAATAAACCAGTTCTGAGGTTGATCATCTTAGAGGATGAGCAGTATTCTGCACTCAGTTCATCAACTTTTGCTGTCCCTCAAACTAGAGGTGAAAGGGAGCATGGGCCTCCAAGCCCATGGGATGCCACAGCAAATGAGCTGACTTTTTTTTTGAGAAGAAAATCGTGCCTCACATTGATACTTTTATGCTCTTTGGCAATAAGGAAGGATGATAATAGTCGTCTGGAGTGACAATCAGTAGAAGTGCAGAGTTAATGCTGGGGGGCTGATACTAACTGGAAAGATCCATGAGGAGTCCCTGGGTGGGAGGATGCAGAAGGTTCTGCAGGGAAAGGGTGACCTTTTTTTCCACCAGGAGGCATGGTGGTGAGGGGAATGATGGGGACAAAACACTGGCACCACAACTCGTTCTTCCCCAATTACTCTGCAATAAAATGAAGACCAAAGAGTGTTTGGGAAGGCTGGCTGAAGGTGCTGACAAGGACAGCCGAGAGCAAAGGTGAGGAGCTGCCCTTACCCTCTGGTGAAGAGAAGCAAAGACGCCTGGTGTGCTGGGGTAAGAATAAGGCAAGCTCCAGGGCTGTGCATGACCATGTCTACCTGCAGGGCTTCTGCAGATCAAGGCTGGTTGTACGGAGCTGCTAGCTCCAAAATATTGTAGAGTCCCTGTCTGATTACTTGTATTTTAGTGTGTTGTACCAGGCAGGCTTTCTGGCTGACTGCCTCTCTGGTGGGATGCTTCTGGACTCACTTTGACTGTATTGCACTGCTGAAGGCTTACAAGATGAATGCATGTAAACTATTATCTATGATTGTTATTCTGTTATAGGACTGTAGTTTGAATGTTCTGGAAACTATCATCATAATAAACTACATTTTATTCTGAGGATGTCCTTGGTGCTGAAAAAGGCTGAGCTGAGTGGACCAGACCACTCACCAGATCATTAAGCTAATCCTTTGCATCTTCTAACACTTCTCACCTGTTACATATCAAGCAAGGTGGTTTGATTTAAGCAGATGAGATGGTTCATATTGCTAAACCAATGTGCTGTTCTAAACCTTCATCAGAGAGGATGTAGGGTTTCCAGACTTGTGCTTGCCCTGGTGGAGAACACAAGGAAGCAGGTTACAAATGCTTGATGCTGTGCCACTAGTTTTGATTTGGGAGAATTCAAGTCCTTTAAACTAAAATTTGTTTTCCTGAGAGAATGAGCTGTTGGATATCTTAAGGGTTTACATGGCAAGTGTGTTTCTCAGCCCTAATGACCTGTTCCTTGCCTTAATTTTGCTAGCTGAAGTTCAGATATGGTCAATATTCTTTATTGCTTGTGTACTTTGAAAAAAGAAATTTACGCAGTTTAAATGTCCTGAAATGTTTGAAATTGATGTTTGAAGTGAAATATTTGGGTCTGGCTTATTTTCATGTTCTGAGTTCTGTGAGTCTCTTTAAAAAGTAAGCTAGAAATCTTTGCCAGGATTTTTCCAGGAGTCTATCAATGCTGATGAAGTATGTAGTAAACAATCAGGTAGGGGAATGTGAAATCAAAGAATGGTACCATGGAAATTCTTTACTGAGCTGGCACTAAGAATTCTAGCAAGGCCCTGTCGGTGCCTGCATCTGAGAAAGCAGTATTAAAAAGTAGAGCTGGCAGCCTGAGCAATGAATTCCCATCTAATCTGATTTGCATGTTCCTTCTGCAGAAACCAGATCTTCTTACACTAGGTTTTTCAACATCAGTATTGCAGGATTGTGTAAGGAAAAAAAAAATGCTCATGAGTTAAAAGGTGTGCATTATCTAAGAGCCTGTGAGCAAAGATGGAAAGACAGTAAGGAAAAGCAAAGAAAGTTGGAAGGTTTTGGATTGTTAATTGTGCCGGATTGAGCCCGCTTGTTGGCTGAAAGGGTTGAGATGAAAACACTGCTCTAGAAGAGGCTGTTGTTCATTATTTGGTTTTGACTTTATTGTTGGGATGTTGCTTATTTTCTTGAATAGTTCTGTCTTAAAGTACTGCTGTCCCTTGTGGGCCCTGATCATGTCTCTGAGAAACTCAGGAGTTTAACTACTTGAGGCCTATCCTGACATACTTGTTAGGGAAAATGGGGTTTAGTTACGTAGAAAATAGGACTGAAGTAGCTAAGTGGATTCAGCGTTTGTTTCCAATAATTGCTTTTTTAAAAAGGTATATACCAAAGCTCACATTTTCTGTTCAGGCTTTAACTGATTTAAGCTAAAATAAAAACAAAAACTTCACTGTTGTTGGCAGAGAATTTGTGCTATTTCACAGACAGGGAAAAAACAGAATAGTTTCCACGTTGTAACTGCTTTTTTCCTTTTAATAGTTCTTCTTGAGAAGCTTCTCTGTGTTCCTGCCATAAAAGCAAAAGCAGACTTATAATATCCTGATTGATCTAGTACTGAGGGAAGAGATTCTG